CAGCGGCCGCCCCCAGCCTGAGGGGCAGCAATGGGGGGCGGGGCTTAGCTCGCGCGCGCGGGGGGAGGAGCGGGCGGCAATGGCGCCAGCAGAGGACGGGGCTTAACGGGTGGGGCTTAGCTCAGCGTGAGGGGAGGGGCGCTACCTCCTGGCCTGGCGGGGGAGGGGCGCGGGCAAATCTGGTAGTGTGGGGGGGGGGCTCAGTGGAGAAGAGGTGGCCGGGCCGGGCCGGGCCGCAGAGGGCAGCAGCGGGAGAGGTGCTTCTCAGTCTTGAATTTTCCCTTGCCTGGCTAGCAGGCTCCCCTGCCTCTGAGGAAGCAGCCCTTGGGGCCTGGAGCTGCCCAGGGTGATCAGAGGACTGTTTGTCCTGTATGTCCCGTCGTCCCTCCCCCTCCCACCCCTTCCAAATGAACAGTCTCCACTGGCTGTAGCAGCTAAAGAAGCTGCTTTGGCTGCCTTGTCTCACTGAAGGCAGGAGTTTTCAAACGTCCTGAAGTCACTGGATCCTCTCCTGTTGCTGCTTCTGTTGCAGAACCTGCCACTCCTGTCCTTTCCTACCCCTGTCCTACAAAGGATGTGGCAAAGTTAGAATCCAGAAGTGGGCACAAAGGTGATAAAGGGCTTGGAAAGCAAGTCCCATGGAAGAGCTAAGCACTTTCAGCTTGAGGAAAAGATGGGATATGATAGCAGTCTTCAAATACTTGAAGAGAGGGAAAGCACCCATTCTCTCTGGCTGCAGAGTTGAGGATGCAGATCAAAGGCTGGAAGTTGCAGCAAAGTATGGTTAGTTTGGATAGCTGGAAAAAACTTTTTTACTGTTAAAAGAGCAAGTCAGAGGAGTAGACTGACTAGGGAAGGACTCTCCATCACTGAAAATGTTCATAAAGATGTTGGGCAGCCACTGGTCACGTATAGCTATGCTTATGTTATTCTGTGGGTATTTCCCATGTTTTCTGGCATTTGGGTTCCTCTTGCCTCACCCCTTTCTTCCCTCATTGGGTGTTGGCTACAACCAAGGCTGGTGAATTTCACACCCAGTGCTCCTGCTGGGACCAAAGCTGGAGGTTTCTGGCTAGAGGATCTTGCCCCTCTGCTTGGGGTTGGACCATTCTTTCCTGACCCCCACCATATTTGGGGTCAGGAAGGAATTTTACCTCATGGTTAGATTGGTATAGAGAGAGAGAGAGAGAGTGTGTGTGTGTGTGTGTGGGGGGGGTCCTTCTTTTGTAGCGGGGAGCTTGGCCCTCTACCCAGAGTCTCTTGAGCATATGATGACAAAATTTCATAGAAGCAGGATGTTGGTTCCCCTACTTTACCTGTGGCAGGTTAGGGTGTTAGATCTGTGTTGTGTCAGGGTTTACACAGTCTTATGTGGAGTTTAAGTTATGGTTCGTATGGGACCATTTGGATAGGGATGATCCTGCGTCAGGAAGGGGGTTGGACTAGATGGCCTCTGGAGGGCCCTTCCAGCCTTGCTTCTCTGTGATTCTAAAAAGCTAATATAGAGCCCGGAAACCTGGCAGTGGTGACATGCTGCTTCTGCTATTGCCCCCAGTTTCTTTGGGGAAGCTCTGATGATGTAGTGTGGAACCCCAGGGTTCCAGGGAATGCAGTTTGAAAGCTGCTGGCTTAGGGTAAAAAAATACATTGCTAAACAACGAAGTGGATCGGCTGTGGCTGGCATGTCCCACCACAGTCGATCCACTTTAATTGATGAAACATACCGCTCTTTGTGCATCAGGCAAAGGCCTGATGAGAGACAAAAGGCAGCGTGTTCCTCTTGCCTGTAAATTTTCTGCATCTCCTTGCCAGGACCCATACTGACCTGTGATTCCCACACAACCATGGGGTGGCATGGGACCTGGAGAAACCCATGGGCCCTGTGCCTCCATACTGATCCATGCCTGAAGCATGGGTTGACACAGGTCCTAGCAAGGAACCACAGGGCATCATGGGACCCAGGGAATTTGCTCAGCATGGTTCCTGGTGTTGAGGCATGGGGCACTGGGGATTCCCCAGGTCCCATGCTGCTGTGTGGGTCCCAGCATGGAGGCACAGAGCTCCAGAAATTCCCTAGGTCCCTTGCTTCCACACCAGGACCTACACAGGCTTTACCCACTTAAGGAAAAGTGCCCCATGAGATCTCAAGGCAGGTCTCCATAAACAGGAAACCCCAACTTTCCCTGCTTAGAGGGATGCCCTAGGATTCTGTAGGATGTCTCTGTAAGTAAAGAAAGCTGGGCAGGTGCTTCCTGAGGGGGCCTGATTTCTGTGTGGGAAATCCTGAGCTGTGCAAGAGGGGGCTTTTCAATCCCATGGCACACCTGCCCAGGGTGGCTGGAGAGTCTGGGCATCTTCAAGCTTCCCGCACTCTCCCACCACAGGGCAAATAGATGTGCAGTTCAATAAAGCAACTCTTTTATGCTACTTTTTGTTGTGGATACACATTCAGTGCAACAAAAGGTATGGATTGTCTACTTTGTCATTGTTTGTGCTTCCATAAAAATATTTATAACAGCACAAATGCCACATCAGGCAATGTTCGACTCTTAGATACCAAGGATCGTTTAATAAAAATTCCATGTTATGAGCAGGTACCCGTCTGCAGTGAATGAATCCAACCATGGAGTCCCACACGGTTCAAAGATGGTATCAGAACCAAGCATTGTCTCCTTTCCAGTTTTCTCTATCTGAGCTCTTTCTTGAAATGAGATTCTGCTGTCCCATGGCCCCAGTTCCTGAAAGTGTACTTTCAGTCTCCTCAGCCCTCTTCCTCCCCTTCCTGCTCCCCACCCTTGTCTATGGGCACTTTGGGCCAGATTAGGTTCCACCTCAGTTGTAACTAGTGATTTCTGCACCCTAGGTGGATATGCAGGAACATGTGTGGTGGGAGCAGTAAGGGGGGGCTGCTGGGCATCAGAGAATCTTACTTGGCCCCAGGGCTGCCAGCGTGGCATGGTCTTCCACCATGCAGGGGTGCAGACTTCCTGAATGGGGTTTGCTGTTTTGGCACCCTCTCTAAATCGGTGCCTGTGGCTAGTGCCCCACTCACCCGTTCCTAGTTACACTACTGTGTTCCTCCTCTTAGGTGCCTAATTCAGCCCATATTCCATCCTGCTCAAGTCCCTAAAAATTGGTTAAGGTATCTGTTTTTAAAATGTGCTGTCAACTCGGCTTTAAAATTGTTGCAAAGAAAGGGATGACCCACCCACTCTGTGTTAAAGTCTTCTTAGATTTGAGTAGGGTTGAATAGGATTACATTTAGGTGCCTAGGATCTGAACCTTTGTCTTCCGGTGTAACTGTATTGGGAGCAGTATAGCATGGAAACAAGGAAGATAGGCTTACCAAATTAGTTTTTTAATAAGTCATTTTACGTGTAAGAAAATAACCGTTAATGGGCGCGATTAATGCAAAAACAAATTAACGCGTTAATTTTTTTAACGCGTGTTTAATTGCTGCTGCCAGGCTGTGTGCGCTGGGGGGAAAGTGGCCCCTCCCTCTTGCTGCTGCCAGGCCGCATACACCCATGCACACACATGTGGCCAGCAAGCAGCCAGGCAGGGTCGTGGGAGCAGACTCAGCAGCTGGATGCAGGTAAGCATATGATGTATAGGGACTGGAGGGCTAGGTCTTGGGGATTGTCTAGCGTGTGTGTATGTGTCGAGGGGTGGGTTTCTGTCAGCACTGGGGGAAGCTATCCAGGTGCCAGGGCTGCAGCAGAGCAGGCTGAGGTGCCTGCCCTTCCAGCGGGGGAATGGGGCAGGGTGCCCTCTGAGGGCGACGGGGAGCTCCGTGGCTGGGCTGATGGCACAGGGCCTGGTGCCTGTGCTTGCAGATGGCAGACAGCCCCAGGAGATGCTGCTAGGTGGGGGGAGCAGGGGGCTATGGGTCAGGAGTGAGGGGCCCCGCCAGTGCCAGGGGGTTGCAGGTCAGGAGTGAGGGTCACTGCCAGTGCCAGGGGTCTGGGGGTTGGGTGTGCCCCCAACTGATGTCCTCTTTTTTGGATTTGGAAATATGTTAACCCTAGTGTTGACCCTTTTTACTTTACTGTACTTAATCACTAGGTGGAAATCATGACAGTTCTACTCTGTTCTTATGGCACTGAGTGAATAAATATCAGATGGACGTAATGGAGCAAAGCAGCAAAAGTTTGGGTGTTTTGAACGGGAAATTTATTTATAGAAAACTTGTGGATGGTTCTCTGGATAAAAGGACGGTTATTTGTAGCTATTGCAAGGCTGAGTTCCAGTATCATCGAAGCACCACAAGTCTGAAGTACCACCTACGTGCTAAACATGCTTTCACCACTGTTCCTCTTGCTACAGATAACCCAATGACAGCAAATGAATCCTGTGAGCTGCGACAGAGTACACTTACTGTGTTTCAGAATTGCTATAAGCCCACAGATCAAACGAAGTACAACAACTTAACCAATGCTATTGCAAAATGGATAGCTATGGACTGCAGACCACTCAACATTGTAAATGACAGAGGACTAATAGAGGTTATTCAAATTGCATCTTCCAATCAGTCATGCACCCTGCCCTCCCAAGGAACCATTGCATCACGAATACGTGACTTGTATCACAACGAGAAGACTACTAAGTTGGAGCTGCTGAAAAATGCACAAGCTGTTGCTTTGACTGGTGATCACTGGACATCCTTGAGCAATCACAGCTATCTTGGAGTCACGGCACACCTGATTGATGCTGCATGGAGACTGCAGTCATTTGCTTTAACAGCAACGTATACTGAAGAGAGACATTATGCAGAAGCATGTGCAGAGCATTTCTTGGATGTTACAAAAGAATGGAATATTCAAGAAAAGGTGACAACAATTAGTACTGGTCGTGCAAGCAATATGATAGCAGCAACCAGTCATTTGCCTTTTGAACACATGACGTGCATTGCTCACAGTCTTCAGCGATCCATCACAGTAGCGCTCCGTGCTGGTGGTTTTGAAAATGTGCTGCTAAAATGTAGAAAAATTCTGGGCCATTTCAAACACAGTCTAGCTAACAGTGCAGAGCTAAAAACACAGCAACTTGCAAATGGACAGAAACAAGAACCTCTTGGACAAGATATTTCTGCCAGATGGGACTCTACGTTGGGTATGGTTCAGCGCCTGCTTAGAAATAAAGCCACTATCACAACCACGTTAGCTCTTGAAAAGCACAGCCTATCTGTGCTGACAGGTAGTGATTTTGGAAAACTGCAAAAGCTAGAAACACTACTTGAGCCCTGCAGATTTGTGACTGAACTCCTTGGAGGAGAATTATATGTCTCCTGCTCTGTGATTTTACCCGCACTCTGCCATGTATGTCGTGTTATGGCAGTCTCTGATGACGACCCAGCATATGTTGCTCGATTTAAGAACACTTTCACTTCAGATTTAACAAAACGCAAAGAGGATTCCAATATGAGATTTCTAAAAATAGCTACAGTGCTTGACCCAAGGTTTAAGAATCTGAAGTGCCGTCCAAAATCTGAGAGGGATGAGGTGTGGAACATGCTGTCAGAAGTCTTAAAAGACCAGCACTTGAATATGGAACCTACAGAACCTGAACCACCACAAAAGAAAATCAGCCTTTTGTTGGTGGCATCTGACTCGGATGATGAAAATGAAGGTGTGCCGGTCCGTACTGCTTTGGATCGTTACAAAGCAGAGCCCATCATCCCCATGGAGGCATGTCCTCTGGAATGGTGGTCGAAGCATGAAGGGGCTTATGAAAGTTTAGCATATCTGGCACATAAATACCTTGCAACACCAGCTACAGCAGTGCCATGCGAACGACTGTTCTCACTTTCAGGTGACATTGTAAATAAGAAGCGTGCAGCATTATCTCCCGAGAATGTAAACCAACTTGTCTGTCTAAACGATTGGCTGAAATGCAGCAAGGTTCATTGAAAAATACTATTTATTTTGTTTACCACTTTTACAGTGCAATTATTTGTAATAAAAAATAATACTATAAAGTGAGTACTCTACAGTTTGTATTCTGTGTTGTAATTGAAATCAATTTGCAGCAAGACCTGGATAGGTTACAGGGGTGGGCTAACAAAAACAGAATGTGCTTCAATACTGACAAGTGTAGGGTGCTGGACTTGGGCAGTAGTAACCAGCAGCACACTTATAAGATGGGAAACTCCCTTCTTGAGAGCACGGAGGCAGAAAGGGATCTTGGAGTCATTATCGATTTCAAGATGAACATGGGCTGCCAATGTGAGGACATGGTTGGCAGGGCTAACCGGACCTTGTC